GAAGGTGGGCTTCCTCTATGTGTGACTTGTAAGGTTTCTCAAGGACTTGTGCTTAGAGTGTTAAAGCTCTGTAATGTCATCTTGAAATTCTTCATGATTTTTAAACACAGGTATTTTCTTTTTGTGTTAGATCTTGTGAATTACATAGCTGGTCCTGATCTGTGTCTTTATTGAAAATAGCAAAACTGTTAATTGGGTTCCTTCAAGGTTACCGAAGTCATCAATACCAATAATTGGTCCAATAATATGGCCACTTACACCATCATTTCCAAATCTATCTGCTTCCCTCCATGGATAGCAATCCCATTGTCCATTTCTTTTGCACATTTGGTCCTCTTAGTACCGACCCTCAAACTTAAGCATTGACTAATCCACTTTCTCAATCTAGTGAAGAAATTCCTATATAATAAAGAGGTAATATTCAAATTGACCATCACCCCTCACAGAAGGTGGCCCCCTCTATTGGTCGCAAGATGGCCACTCCAATGTGGTCACAAGATGGCTGCCTCCAATGTGGTCTCAATGTGGCCATGCCCAGGTTATCACAAGATGACTGTCACAAGATGACCAGCAGGGGTGGGCAGTTTGGAGGATCCAGGCCTGCAGGAGAGGACAATGGTGGAGGGGACACAACATTCAGGGCAAACCTGCCAGGCCTCTATCCTATCTAATAAAAAATTAATATGCAAACTGGCCATCACTGCAACACACAAGATGGCTGCCTCAATGTGGTAAAAGTTGGCTGTTCCCATGTGGACACAAGATGGCTGGGAGGGACCAGGTCCACAAGGAAGGGCATTTGTGGGCAATCAAGCCTGCAGGGAGGGCAGTTAGGAATGACCAGGCTGGCAGAGGAGGGAAGTTGGGGGCAACTGGGCCTGCAGAGAAGGGCAGTTGGGGGGAGGTGGAATTCAGACCTACAGGAGAGAGCAGTTGGGGGGGGGGGGAACAAGGCCTGCAGGGGAGGACAGTTAAGGATGACCAGGTCAGCTGGGAGGGTAGTTAGTGGCAACCAGGCCTACAGGGGAAGACAATTAGGGGTAACCAGGTATGCAGGGGAGGACAGTTAAGGACAACCAGGCCTGCAGGGGAGGGCAGTTAGGGTGACCAGATTGGCAGGAGAGGGCAGTTGGGGAGAACCCAACCTGAAGGGAGGGTAGTTAGGGGTGACCAGGCCTACAGGGGAGGGCAGTTAGGGCCATTCAGGCTGGAAGGGGAGGGCAGTTAGGGACATCCAGGCTGACAAGGGAGGAAAGTTAACGGTGACTGGGCCAGCAGTGGAGGGCAGTTGGGGTGACCAGGCTTGCAGTGGAGGGTAGTTAGTGGAGACCAGACCTGCATGGGAAGCCAGTTATAAGTGACCAGGCCTTCAGGGGAGGCTGTTAGTGGCAACCAGGACAGCAGGGGAGGGCAGTTAGGCATAACCAGGCCTGTAGAGGAGGGAACTTAGTGGTGACCAGGCTGGCAAAGGAGGGCAGTTATAGGCTAGCAAAGGAGGGCAGCAGGGTATGGCATTTGGGGATGATCAGACTAGCAGGGGAGCAATTAAATATCAATCAGGCTGACAGGGGAGTGGATAGGAGGAAATTAGAAGTTGTTATGGGCAATGAGGCAGGCAGACAGGTGAGCAGTTGGGAGCCAACAGTTCTGGATTGTGACAGGGATGTCTGACTGTCAGTTTACAAGGATTGGGCTTAAACTGGCAGTCAGACATCCCTGGAGGTGTCCTAGATTGGAGAGGGTGCAGACGGGGCTGAGGGACACACTCCCCAGTGCATGAAATATGTGCACTGGGCCTCTAAGCCTATCTAATAAAAGAGTAATATGCAAATTGACCATACCTCTGCTACATCCACAAGCCACACCCACCAGACAATCAGGAGCAAATGTGCAATTAAAGCCAACCAAGATGGTTGTGGCTACAAAGAGAACAGGAGGGAGGCTTGGGTTTCCCTAGCAATGGAGGAAGCTAAGGTTTCCACCTGCCCTTGCCAGCCCAGGCCACCACTTAATGCTACAAAGTTTTAATGATAGAAGATAAATGAATCCCAACAAAAATGTTGACAGCCACAGAGCAGAAAGTTTGAGTTGCCCTTGGAGATGAGGAAGCCAAGCTTTCTGCTTGTCCTGACCGGCTGAGGGCTCCACTCTAGACTACGAAGTTTCAATGATAGAAGATAAATAAATCTCAACAAAAATGGTGGCAGCCATGGAGCTGGAGAGAGCAGGAGGCTTGAGTTGCCCCAGAGATGGAGGAAGCCTAGCTTTCCACCTGCCCTGGAGGGCCCAGGCCTCCACTCCAGACTACAAACTTTCAATGATAAAAGATAAATAAATCCCAACAAAAATGGGTGTGGCCATGAAGTGAGCAGGAGGCTTGACTCCACTCAAGGCTACAACATTTCAATTATAGAAGATAAATAAATCCCAGATACTAACACCTCCACTTGGGTTGCTAAGGGGTGTGGCTGGCCTGCAAACCACCACAGGATCTTTCCCCAGGCCACCCCATGTCCCAAGGGAACCCTGACCCAGGACAATCTTAAGGAAAACCAGCTGGCCCCCCCACCCATGCACCAGACCTCTATCCCAGCGTTTTTCAACCGCTGTTCCGCGGCACACTAGTGTGCCGCGAGATGTTGCCTGGTGTGCCATAGGTGCAGACAAGACAAGAATTTTATAATTTTTCACTATTTTGTTTACTTAATATTTCATAATAAAGTAATTATAAAATACTTTCTTTGTGTTTATTTGATTCCTATTCAAGAGAATTACTTTATATATAGTCAATATAGGCACAGAGTTAAATTTTTTAACATTTTCTAATGGTGGTGTGCCTCGTGATTTTTTTCATGAAACAAGTGTGCCTTTGCCCAAAAAAGGTTGAAAAACACTGCTCTATCCTATCTAATAAAAGAATAATATGCAAATTAACCACTACTCCAACACACAGGATGACTGCCTCATGTGGACACAAGATGGCAGTCACAAGATGGCCAGCATAGGAGGGAAGTGGGGAGGGACCAGGCCTGCAAGGGAGGGCAGTTGGGGGTGATCAAGCCTGCAAGGGAGGGCAGTTAGGGGTGATCAGACCGGCCGAGGAGAGAAGTCGGGGGCGACTTGGCCTGCAGGAAGGGCAGTTGTGGGGGCCAGGTCTTCAGGGGAGGGCAGTTAGAGGTGACCAAGCCTATAGGGGAAGGCAGTTAGGGGCAAACAGGCTGGCAGGGGAGCAGTTAGGCATCAATCAGGCTTGCAGGGGAGTGGTTAGTGGGTGATCAGGCTGGCAGGTAGAAGTAGGGGCAATCAAGAAGGAAGGCAGGTGAGCGGTTGGGAGGCAGTAGTCCTGGATTGTGAGAGGGATCTCCGACTTCCTGTTTAGGCCCTATTTTACTGGGATTGGGCCTAAATGGGAAGTTGGACATCCTTGGAGGGGTCCCAGAATGGAGAGGGTGCAGGCTGGGCTGAGGGTCACCCCCTGGCCCCCCATGCATTAATTTTGTGCATTGGGACTCTAGTATATATATAAAAACCTAATATACTAAGTGTCAGACCATTCAATTCTTAGACTAGTCACTATGACATGCACTGACTACCAGGCGACAGACACTGTGTCTGGTAGGTTAGCTTTATGCTGGGGTCTGTCTCATTGGGACTGGGAAAGATGGCCAGACATGTCCTGGAGCCCTCCTATGGTCCTCCCTGGCAAGCCAGTCTCCCCAATCACTCCCTGGCCTTCTTCTAATTAATTTCCTTTCAATATGCGTACATCTGCCGAAGCCAGTTTGGCTCAGCGGTAGAGCGTCGGTCTGCGGACTGAAAGGTCCTGGGTTCGATTCTGGTCAAGGGCATGTACATTGGTTGCGGGCACATCTCCAGTGGGGGGTGTGCAGGAGGCAGCTGGTCAATGTTTCTCTCTCATCGATGTTTCTAGCTTTCTATCTCTCTCCCTTCCTCTCTGTAAGAAAAATCAATAAAATATATATATATATAAAATATGCATACATCTATGCACCAGGCCCCTAGGGTATAATAAAAAATTCAATTTTTTTTTGGTGATGGAACACACAACTATCAATAGAACATCTTGTCAACCATGAGGGATTCCATAGTCTGCCTCTTACCTGAAAGTAATTTCTAAATCCTTTTGCAACCATCCGCTGGTAAATCTAAGATAAGTTGCCTCTGTCAGGGCTGGAGTGGGAGAAGATAGAAAGGCTGGGAGGGAAGGTTGCATCTACAGTACTTTCTAGGTGCATCTTTATGTGTCATGTAATGTAGACTTTCAACCATGTAAAACCATATGAAACAAAGAAATAAATAAACAAAACAGAGAGATTGTGATCATTGGAAGACTTTCCACAGGCCTCTCTTTCCTATTTTCTACATTGCTCCCAATGGTTTATACCCCTTTGTCTTTGTATATCTGAGTTTTGTTAATTTCTGAATGAGTAGCTTGAGACCCTTCTGAAAGAGTAGGATCAAAACCCATCACTAGCAAGATCCGAGAATATTCTAAGCCCCATGTTCAACTTTCTTCTTCCAGATGACCTCACAGTCTCCCACTTCACCAGGGAAGGTGAAGGACACTTGTACCTGTTTGTTTGTTTGTGTGTTTATTTGTGTGTGTGTGTGTGTGTGTGTGTGTGTGTGTGTGTGCGTGTGTGTGTGTTTGTTTGTTTTTTAAAGATTTAGGTACTTTAATAAGGGCCTTTGGATCCACTACTATAACCAAAAACACCAAATGTAGCTTTGGTAATTTTGGTACAAGAACAAGCACAGAAGGAAAACATTTCAACTTGGAAATTGGAAAGCACCCACTAAATTAGGAGAAATATTACTGTCTCTTTAAAAGCAAACAGTTCCTCCACTGGCTCCACCCAATCTATTGCTTTCTGCCTCTATGATTTCAGAGGGTGTGAACAATTTTTCTTCACAGTTAAAACAAAAGCACCAGCTGGAAGAGTGTCTGGCGAAAATCTGAGAATTCACCAACTGGTTGAAAAGAAGGTGAGTCTGGCTGAGAAGCAGCCCTGAGCACTAGGGTTGTTTGGGCAGTAGGTCCATGGAGTGAGTGTTCATGGTGTGGGTTCTTGTCCCAGGAAGGACCAGGTTCTGTGCCCGAGGCACAGTAAGGGGGGATACTGTCTGAGGGTAGTGAAGGAGGGCAGGGTGGGGAGTCAGGAGTGTTATTAGCACAATGCTACATGTCTCATACTGAACAGGACACATTTGTGCTGACTGGTGCACCTTCATGCATTTGCTGCTCTGAAAAACACTGAGGGCTGCCTGGCAAGCCTTCCTTTTCCCTGGACAGAAAATGAGTGTCCCCAAGGCAGGTCTTTAGAGCTTGAAGGCAATATAAAGACTGACCTGTCTAACTTCCTCTTTTTACTGAATAGGAGCAGGATCCCAGGGAATGTGGTGATCCTAAGGGTTACCCATGTCACTAAGGTCATAGGAAATCTGCACTGCAGTTTTCTGAATCCTTTCCATCATTTAGCAGAGAGAAACTCTAATCTGAGTAGTGTGACATGTGAGGTGAGGAGGGGATGTCTATGTCTATGTCAATAGCCATAAAGGTTTGGCTATTCTTCAAGAACAATGTATATGAAACCCTCCACTCAATGGCCCTAGTTACAGGTTTCCTAAAGTGTTCTGTTCTGGAAAGAGTGTGGACTCTCCTCCCTGTCCTCTCTTGATCTAGCTCTGATTCGATGTAATTTTAGAATTCTGAGAAGACACTGAAGGAGGCCATTGTGTGCAGTGGTTAGGAGGGAAGACAGACTTTGAATTTGATGCTGTTCTGCCCAATACCTGTTAGCACTGTGACCTTGGGCAAGTGTTTCAGCATTTTCAAGCCACATCAATGTCTTTATTTAAAAAGTTAGAATAATAAAATTAGCTTTTTGCAGGCTATTATAGGGGAGTAGGTGAGATAATGTACAAAAAATTATCAGAGTGCTTACTTTAGAATGTCAGCAGTGGTTATATTACATACATCAATTTTTTATTGTTGAAAAATGTTAATTTACTCAAAGATAAATGAACATTAAAAGGAACTTTCATGTACCTAGACCAAGCTTCCACAATTATTAAGTGATGACAATATAGTTACACTAATAGTGTATAGATTCTATATACTCACCACTCCCCAGCCACACCACATTATTTTGAAGCAAATATCATTGTTTCATTTTACCAGTACATATTTGAAGCCATTTAAAAATATGATCATAATCAGACTTAAAAAAGCAAACAGAATTTTTTTACAAAGTTAACAGTTGTCTTCAGATTTCCCTGATTGTCAACAAACAAAAACTGTTTGAAATTGGATCCTATTAAGATTCATAAATTGCAATTGTTTGGTTTCTCTTATATTTAATTTAATATATAGCTTTCTCATCTTCTCTGTTTCCTTCTAGAGGAAGTCTTTTTTCCAAAGGAATGGTGCAATTTGCATTTTGTTGATTAACATTCTCATGGTGTCATTTCACCTGCTCTTCTAGTTCCAGTGTTTTGGGTGAAATTATTTAAGGAGAGGCTTGCTCTGACTCAGGTTTGACTATTTATTGGGAATACATCATAGGTTCAGCTGTAAAGTTCCCTTTGAAAGCACATAATCTTTGGTTGTCTTTCTTTGGCATTAATTGATGTTAATGATAGCCTAAATTTCATTAAGGGACAGAAGTAATGATATCAAATTCTATCATTCTTCCCTTATTTATTAGATGGAAAAATCCTATAAAATGAAAGTTCCCTCCAACCATTCTCTTATTTCCATGAGGTACAGTTGTATCTGAAAGACAAAATAAATGCTCCATTTCCTTTTTTATTTGTCGATGTTCATAACAATGAAATGCTTTCCTAACACATTCCCCAGGAAGTGATTGACTATTTTAAGCACAAGGACTTGTTATGAACTCATGTATTTTAAGATATCTGATATATTTTGATTCATTAGAGTTATTATTGATGCTCACAAAAATGTCCAGTTGCATTTTCTTGAGATTGACTCTTAAGTCCTTTCCATAAGATCCCAGTGATTTTTGAGACTATGTTGACTTTCTTTCTTTCTTTTTTTTTTTTAAATATATATTTTATTGATTTTTTACAGAGAGAAAGAGAGAAGGATAGAAAGTTAGAAACATCGATGAGAGAGAATTATCAATCAGCTGCCTCTTGCACACCCCCTACTGGGGATGTGCCCTCAATCAAGATACATGCCTTTGACCGGAATCGAACCCGGGACCCTTCAGTCTGCGGGCTGAGGCTCTATCCACTGAGCCAAACCAGTTTCAGCTATCCTGGCTTTCTTGTTTACAACTCTGCCTATTCCTAGAATCAGTAGTTTATAAAACCCTAATGTTTTGGTGGTAAATGGCATTTGAAAACCACACTCCAGGTACTGAGGGTGGTCATTGTCACTGAGTTCATTATTATCTCTATGCCGTTAAATGGACTCCAAAATTGTGTGCGTGCACACATACACACACTCACACAAAAACAAGAATAGAATTTCTGAAAATAATTTCATATTTTTTCAGGTTATTTTAAAAAATTTAAGTTAATGCCATTAAATATGGACAATGAAAGTATTGCTTTTTTCAGTGTCTTGGACCAATTCCTTATATGGTTCACTCACTCCACAATATAAAATCAGAAATGTTTGCCATTTGCTTTTAGTACTTAAAAATATAATTTTCCTTGTATAATTATGTAAACTACCTATATGGTTTCAATATCATATCTATAAAATCTTAGTGTAACAAAGGCATCCAGTTTTCAGCTTCTGTCCCTATCATCTCCACCCTGCTTCTCCCATTCTCATGTAAGTAAATTTTTGTTGGTTTAGTTTTTAGAGTATCCTGGTATTGCCTTTTCATATATAAGACAAAGATATGTATTATATTTTATATATGTAGTGCACATTCTTTTTTATTGGAGAAATCGTAGGTAAACTTTACATTTTTTTCTTTACTTTGCTTTTCTTCACTGCCCCCCCCACGCCCCCCCCTTAATGATGTATCCTGGAGACCTCTCTTTCCATGCTAGTATAGAGAGACGCATTCCTTTTCACAGTTGGATAGTCCTTCACTGTGTGACTATATCTTAGGTAATACAACCAGAGTCCACTGATAGGCATTTGATAGGTTTTTGGTCTTTTGCTAATACAAATAATGATGCAATAAGCAGCATGATGTGTCATTTTTCTGTATTTTTCTCAGTGTAGTTAAGGAATAAATATTAAAATGGAAAATTGACAATGAATGAGAAAATGCATATGTACATTGGCAGCATAGTGCTGACTTCCCTTCTGTAGGGTTTGGACTGGTTTTCCATTCTCACCAGCCATGCAGGAGAGGACCTGTTTCCCTCATACCTTTGCCAACAGATTATGCTAGCAAACATTGAATTTTTGCCAAACATGGAGGAGTTAAATAGTATCTCACTTCAGAAATAGAGGTGTAATTTAATTAATATTCAATTGATTTTATTTTTTTTTATTTTTCTCTGAGTGTATGTTAATGTCTTTTGATATATTCAAAGTACATTTAAATTCATTTTTCTCTGAATATTTATTCCCATCTCTCACTTCATATTTTAACAAGTTCCTAGTATTTGGTTTCTATACTTTTTAATTTTCTGAGTATAGCAGGAGCATTTATCCCATTTGTTGTAAGCTGAAAAATATTATTTTCACTAATTTGACATTTTTTGTTTTAATTTTTCTAAGGTGTCTTTTGTTCCACATTATCTGTGATATTTTTATGTAATCACACTTATTAATTTTTTCCTTACTTTATTTCAAATCTTAGAAATAGTTTCCTTACCTCCAGGTTACAAATAATGTATCCATGATTTTCTTTTATTTCAACTTGTAATCTGCTTGCAATTTGAATGGCATGAAGCAATGGATGCAATTTTATCTTTTTTCTGTATGATTATATGATTACCCTAAAATTGCTTTATTGCATCATCTTTGGCCCCTTTGATGTGGTATACTGCCATTTGAATCTAACTGTAATATAGTGTAATTGAATTGAATATAAATGAATAAGGAATGATTAATTTGGTCTGTTTCTGAATTTTCTGTTTTTGGTTCACCAGTCTCTCTTGGTACAAAAATATCACACTTCTGTAATCATAGAAATTACAATGCTTGACTCCAGGCAGAGCTATCCCTTCCTCCTTGTTCCTTTTCTTCATGGTGCTGAATAACTTTCTTTTTTTCTTCATTCAAATGAAGTTTATAATCCACTATATTTCACCTGCCTAAAAAAAATGGTGATGACAAAAATTTTAATTTTATAGTTATCCTATCTAATAAAAGAATAATATGCAAATTAATCATCACTCCACTACACCCACAAGCCACTCCCACCAGCCACACCCCACCAGCCAATCAGGAGCGAGTGTGCAAACTAACCCAACAAAGATGACTGCCGCCTCAGAGAAAGGGAGCCTTGAGTTTCCCCAGCGATAGAGGAATCCAAGCTTTCTGTACACCCTGACTAGCCAGGCCTCCACTCAATGGTACAAAGTTTCAATGATAGAATATAAATAAATCACAACAAAAATGGCTTCAGCCATGGAGCTGGAGAGAGCAGGAAACTATGGTTGCCCTGGCAATGGAGGAAGCCAAGCTCTGCAGCCTTGGCCTGTTTTGGCCTACACTTAAGGCTACAAAGTTTCAATGAAAGAAGATAAATAAATCCCAACAGAAATGGCTGCCACCATGGAGTGAGCAGCAGTCTTGGCTCAGCTCCAAGCTACAAAGTTTCAACTGTAGAAGATACATAAATCACAGATACAAGGGATTTCGCTAAGGTCACCAGGGGGCATGGTCAGCCTACAAACCACCACAGGCCCCTCACCCAGGCTCCCCCATGCCCCAAGGGAACTCCCATCCTGATCTGGAACAATCTTCAGGGCAAAGCAGCTGGCCCCCACCCTTGCACCAGGCCTCTATCCTATCTAATAAAAGAGTAATATGCAAATTGACCATTACTTCAACACACAAGATGGCTGCCCCCATGTGGTCAAAGGTCCTGGCACCATGTGAACACAAGATGGCCAGGAGGGGAGGGCAGTTGTGGGTAATCAGGTCAGTAGGGAAGGACAGTTGGGAGGGATATAACCTGCAGAGTAGGGCAGTTAGGGATGACCAGGCTGGCAGATGAGGAAAATTGAGGGAAAACAGGCTGGCAGGGGAGCAGTTAGACATCAATCAGGTTAGCAGGGGATTAGTTAGGGGGTAATCAGGCTGGCAGGCAGGAGCAGTTAGGGGCAATCAGGAAGGCAGGCATTCGAGCAGTTGGAATCCAGCAGTCCTAGATTGTGAGAGGGATGTCCGACTGCCCATTTAGTCCCAAAATTCCTGGAGGGGTCCCAGATTGGAGAGAGTGCAGGATGAGCTGAGGGACACACACCCCTGGGCATAAATTTCATGCACCGGGCCTCTAGTCCTGTATAATCAAAGCCTAATATGTAAATCGACTAAACAGTGGAACTATCAGTGGAATGACTGGTTGATATGACGTGCATTGGTAGCCAGGAGACAGATGGTCAATGCAGGAGCTGCCAATTGGTGGTGACTGTGCTCCCGCAAGGGGAGTGCCCGCTCTCAGCCAGAAGCTGGACTCTTGGCTGGTGAGCGTAGCAGAGGTGGCGAGAGCCTCTCTTGCCTCCGTAGTAATGCTAAGAAACAACACATCAAAGGATAAGGAGCAGTGAGCAGGTGGGCGGACATCCCCCAAGGGTCCCCTGACTGCAAGAGGGTGCAGGCTGGGCTGAGAGACTCCTCACTCAGTGCACAAATTTTGTGTGTCAGGCCTCTACTATAAATAATGCTAGAGAAATGTCTACTTTTTCTTCATCCGAAAACTTTGTAACTCATTATTTTTAACTTTATAATCCACTCTTTCTCAACTACGGGAAAGAGTTATGATAAAAAATTTAAATTTATACTTATATAAGATCATGTTAGATAATTATCTATAATTCAAATGTATAAAATGCTTTAAACATGGGTCAGATTTTAATTCAGTCAAATGTCTTGACTACACTAGGTAATTTTCTACTTCATCTATTAATAAGATGTGTTGTAACAATAAATTTTGGTATGAATATTTCTAAATGAAATAGGTCTATAGCTTTATTTATTGGTCAAATCTCTGTTAGCCTTTAGAACCAACATCACACTTGATTCATAAAAGAATTGAAAGATTTCTTCTTCTTTTTTTTATATATGATTAGGAATATTTTACATAATATTGAGATGATCAGCTGTTGTAGATGTTTCAGTGAATTCTCCTGTAAAAGCACCTGGACATTGTAATCTTTTGTGGGAAAACTCTGCTTTATTATTTTCTCCAGATGAGTAATAGATGACTACAAATTTTCATGGAGGAAAAGAACACAGAAAATAGGTTTGAGAATGGTCCCCACTTACCAAAGTATCCTTTTCCCTTCTCTTTCCTTTCCTTGAGGTCCTGTTGGTACCTGCACCCCAGAGTCTCTTGAAAGAAGATGGCTGGCCTGTCAGGACAACACTCTGAGGATTGTTCTGGTGGGGAAAACTGGAAGTGGAAAAAGTGCAACAGGAAACAGCATCCTTGGGAGAAAAGCATTTGAATCTAAAATTGCTCCTTACGCTGTTACCAAGAAATGTCAAAGAGTAATCCGACACTGGAAGGGTAGGGAACTTTTTGTAGTAGACACCCCAGGGCTCTTTGACACCGACGAGACACTGAAGACTGCCTGTGAGCATATCACCGAGTGTGCCCTCTTGACCTACCCTGGGCCCCAGGCTATCATCCTAGTTCTACAACTGGGCCGCTACACGGAAGAGGAGCAGAAAACAGTTGCATTGATCAAGAACTTCTTTGGGAGCCAGCCATGAAGCACATGATCATCTTGTTCACGCAAAGAAGAATTGGGAGATCAGCCACTGCATAAGTTTATAAAAGAATCAGAGGTAAACCTGAAAAGTATCATCGAGGAGTGTGGGAACCGCTGCTGTGCCTTTAATAACAAGCCAAGTGATGAGGCTGAGAAGGAAGCTCAACTGCAGGAGCTGGTGGAGCTGATAGAGGAAGTGGTACAGGATAATGGAGGGGCTCACTTTTCTGATGCCATCTACAAGTTAACAATGGAAATAGGGGGAAAGCTGCAACCTCAGGAAGAGGCCTTGAAGAAATTCTATGCTGATCAATTACAGAAAGAAAATAAACAAATTGAAGAGCAATGTGCTAAGGGAAAAATATCAGCGGAAGAAATGGAAAGAAGAAAAAAATATTCTGATTGGAGGACTATAATGAAAAAACTAAAAATATTAAGGAGGAAGCTGAAATAAATATACTTAAAGATGTTGTTAATTGGATTTGGAATATACTTTCAAAAATATGGGATATGTTTCAAAAATAATGTAAATTTTATTTCTTAATTTAGTATGATTTGTTAATGTGGTTAATTGTATTTTCCAAAGATGACTACAACAATGTATTCTATCCCACCCATTCTTCTTGTAATCTGAGTTTATTTTTCCTTCTGTTGAATTATAGGGTTTATCCCCTAACTTGAAATTCAATGGACTTTGTGACTGCTTTGACAACCAGTGTGTGGTTGTGACTTCAAAAGTGAGATAGGAAAAATGCCTCTTTGTTCCCTAGGGTTTGTGGGCTTGGCACTTGGCAACCATGTGGTGAGGAAGCCCCAGTTGCCCATTGAGAGGCCATGTGAAGAGGACTTGAAGTCACTGGCCCACTCCCCTGGCTGGTCTTTCATCTTCCAGCAGAACCAACTTGACAGCCATGCAAGTGAGGCAACATGGAAGCAGATTCTCCAGCTGCCAACTGAGCCACCTCTGACTAAGCAGCAAAGAGCAAATATCGGCCACCCCCACTTCATCCTGCCCAGATTGCAGATTCATGAGAAAAATAAATTCGTTGATTTAAACTACTAGACTTTGGGATGGTTTGTTATGCTGTGATAATAGCCACCAGCATTTTCCCTGCTCATTCACCACCAATACCCACAATGCTAACAAATGGAAGAAGTTACAGAATTGGCATAATCAGGCAATAATATTTTATTTTATTAAGAGTTCACAGACTCAATTTAGGAAAATTCAAATCAGAAATCCTTCATGTTTCAAGTGTTAGCACGCACATTTTTTCAGTCCATATCTGCGTGCACCTTGTTAGTGAAGCAGTTGGTATCTCCAGCAAGATGATTCTGTGGTCCACGTGAGGCAGGAGAGTAAGAAGCTAGGAAAATTCCTGGATGAATGGAATAAGAAAACTGAGATGAGAAGATGGGCAGCTTATAGCCAGTTTGTTAATCACAAAATCTTATCTTCCCCAACCAGGGGCACTTGGGAGCAAATGGTTTATACATCTCCTCCCTAACCAGAGAATACATAGCTTTAATCAGAATGGTCTGGGAAGTAGAGCACAAAGACCCAATTCATGCCATTTGTGCCAGCTAAACCCAAGGGCAGATGAAGTCAGGGAAAAATATCAAAAACCACATCAAAGCCAGGCACAATTAAGGTAAAATAATGCAGTGAAACAGACAAAAGAATAATCCAAAACTCCCCTATACACTTACCTTGATGCATCTTTTTAAAAATTTTTATTGATTTTTTACAGAGAGGAAGAGAGAGAGATAGAGAGCTAGAAACGTTGAAGAGAGAGAAACACTGACCAGCTGCCTCTTGCACACCAAAGGTACATGCCCCTGACCAGAATCAAACCTGGGACCTTTCAGTCCACAGACCAATTCTCTATCACTGAGCCAAACCGGTTTAGGCTATGCACTTATCTTAATGCATCAGCATATTAAAAATGCACCTGGGAAGCTGATTGGAAAGAAACGGATAAAATGTTCTCAAGACAAAAACTCGCTCTTGCACAAGCCCATGCCCTATACCAGGCATGAACTTTTTATTTCTCCCTAAACTCTGTGGATCCCCATGAGGGACGTGCAACCAGGGGAGCAGTGGGCAGTGGCACCCAGCCTCAGCTCCTGATCCTGTCTCCAAGGCCCCTTTTCCCTGACTTCCCACTGAGCTGAAGCAGTCCCACCTTGGCTCACTTCTTTCCTATAATATTTCTAGAGCCAAAGCAGCCTCACCTAGGCTCTCTGCTGTTGCTTCTTCTATCCTAAACCCTTCTTTTATTTCACTGTCCCCAGCTTTAATGAGCATCCTCTTTCCTACACCAAGTCAAGAACTCACACACTATGGGCCAGTACCTGTCTGGTAACACGTGGATGTTTGTAAGTTCCTAAATTCTCTTCTTGATGTTCTCTCTTCTTTTTTAGATACCGTCCTAAAATGTCCCTGACTATAACTTAAAAATATCTAATGTGCTAAATATTTTTCATTTGCATCTGTAGATCCAGGCTTTGCCCTCCTTCAACCTGGCTCTTTGTCCCAGGAGGCTGATCTATGTGGATCATATTGTTACTAAACTCAAGGGCTTCTCCACTTGGGGTGTCCTATTCCAGAAGGAGACATGGTTGTCACAGGGTAGTTTTATTTACTTGTAGCAAGTTAAGGAGACAGGGGATTCATATCAAAAGCTCTGTCTCCCCAGAGAGAAAGGCTTATACATTCTTTACACTATTTGTGGTCAATTATACCTTCCTTCCTTCCTTCCTTCCTTCCTTCCTTCCTTCCTTCCTTCCTTCCTTCCTTCCTTCCTTCCTTCCTTCCTCTCTCTCTCTCTCTCTCTCTCTCTCTCTCTCTCTCTCTCTTTCTTTCTTTCTTTCTTTCTTTCTTTCTTTCTTTCTTTCTTTTTTTGTTGGCTACATTTGTCTTGTTGAGCTCTTATCAAGCTCATCTTGTTTCCAGCTGGTCTCATAAATTTAATGTTTAATAAGTGTAGCATTTAGTAAGAATGGCCCATACATTTTGACCCTTGTGCTATCTAACAACACCAGTGGGATCTCTGGCTCTCTGACTTATGCTTGACTTCTGCCAATGGGAAGTCCAAGCAGGAGATCTCTTCTGGGTTGCAAAGCAAGTCTGGGTGTTTGTTCTCTTGTCTCTCTCCCTGCAAATTTAGCTCTGACCACCTGCAATGCTAGTTGAAGATCACACCTTCTCTAAGGTGTGGGTTCCAGGCCTCGCCCCCTTAGGGTTAGGGTGTAATTTCCTCACTGTGGCCAGCAGTCTACTTTGTCACTTGCATCCCTGAGTCTGAGGATTATAGGAAACCATGCAGTTGACTCTCTCCCAATTACCTAATTAGATTGAGACATCTCTGCTGCTAGAATCCTAACTGAGAAATCTTAATGATAATCACTCTCCTTTGTCTTTCAGAAATCCCCTGATCTTTAAAAAAATTCCCTCTAGTGTTTCTTGTGGACAGTGGCTACAGCCTTTGGACAGGTTCAAGCCTTGGACTAATGAGAGTGCATGAATCTCTCATGACACAATTATAGTCAAAGGCTAAAGTTCTAAGCTTGACCTTCTGGTCTGAACCTGTGGTACCATGTGGCTGAGTAATATGGGCTGCAAGAAGTGTAGCAAATAAACAAAGCTTGATCAGGTGCATGGAACTGAGTAGATTCAAAACCCACAAGAACATTGTAAACATATTGACCCCTGCCCTTATTTGACTCTTGGAATCTGGCTATAAAATGAAGATGGGCTTGCAGGCTGGGGCACTGTCTCTCTGTCAGAGAGGCCAGCATCCCATTTAGCCCCAGCTTTATTCTCTTGTAAAACACAGAGGCCATCAAGTGTGCTAATGTGAGTAAGGGTCTAAAAATGCTCACAAATCAAGTATCACAGGCAATTAAATAGGTGGGAAAACTTATTTATTTGAATAAAAGAAAAGGAGTTATCAGGTGATAGCATTTCATAGGCAGTGATATATGAAAAATTCCTTTGAGGCAAGGAAGGAGTGGTTCAATACATTTTAGAAAAGATGTGTTTATTTATAAACTAGGAGCCCAGTGCAAGAATTTGTGCACCTTAAAGGAACTGTGGGCCTCGAGGCTGTGGTTGACACAGGGGTGGGTCTCGGCTCATCCTCTGTGCCCCTGCCTAACCCCTGCCACCATGCCGTGGTACCATGTTTGCCAGCACCCCCACTCCTGCTGCCAGTGCTCCCATCCACTGATGGTGCTGAGAAACCGGGGCCTGGTGCCAGCAGCAGGTGCTTGTGGGGCTGGCGTTGTCAGCAGGTGTGAGCAGCTGCTGCTGCTACAATTGCTCCTCAGGATTGGGGGATATGGAGAAGCCCTCAGGGGCCATCAGGGTTGGCAGTTGCCTTTTGTACCTGCTGATGGTGCCAAGTGATTGGGACCAGCGCTGGGCACCAGCAGCAGGTGTGAGCATCAGATCTGGTGCAGGCAGCATGTGGGAGTGGGGCCAGTGATATGCGGGAGGACAGAATTTTTAGTAAGTACCAGAAGCTTGCCCTGATGACAGTGACCAGCGCCTCACTTTGTTCTGGTGCCCCCATTCACCTGCTCCACCATTCCACAGCACCCAATGCCTACATGCCCTCTGGTGCTCAGAGCATCTTATAGCGACTGGTTGTTTGATTGTTCTACCATTCAATCTATTTGGATATTAGCCTTTTTTTATATAGGATTAAACAGTGCATTTACATAGTAGCCTTTTATTATATAGGATAAAACAGTACATTAGACATGCACTGTATATAAGAAATGTTTAAACAAGGAATAATTTGGGATCTGGAACAAATTAATTCAATTTGCATTTTTCTAATGGAAAAAAAGATTTGATTTTTTAACAAGTTGGTTCCACTATAATTGAAGTTCATAAGAAATTTCATCAAATAAAGAATAATAATTATAGTCCATTTGTATACATGTAGTTTTATTATTAAAGTGGATGTTCTAGATGTTATATAGCTGTTACCTTAAAATACTATTAAAAGGAGTATAGAGGTAGGGAAGGTGGGTTTAACAAATGGGGGTCCATGGGAGTGGAAGACATATGTAATGGGCAGAGATAGAGCCAAGCTACCAGAATATTTGTCTCACATACACAGAGGATGGAGGAATATTATAAGAATAGAGGCCCAGTGCATGAAAATTCATGCACTGGAGGAGGGAGGGTCCCTCAGCCTGGCCTACTCCCTCTTACAGTTTGGGATCCCTCAGGGGTAGAAGGAGGTCTATTGTTCAGGGAAAGGTGATGCCCCCATCACACCTCTACTGCTGTCACTGCTAGCAGCACAAGCCTCAGCTGGTCCTGGTTACCTGAGCCCCAGGAAGCTTTGGGCGGCTGGGCAGCCACCATCTCAGGCTTGCCTGCACTTCAGGCTGGCCCTGAGGGGCTGAGGCCGTTTCTGGTTGCAATGCACATGTGCCGCTCACTGCACCCCCCCCCCCCCAAGTTGGGCTGAAAGGACTATGGGACTCTGGTGGGGCTGAGGGGACTGGGCACCACCATATTTGTGATGATATGATGGACAATTTGCATATTCCATTTTGATTAGATAGACTAGAGGCCTAATGCATGAAATTCCTGCACAGGGAGGGTTGTATCCCTCAGCCCAGCCTACACCCTCTTCAATCTGGGATATCCCTCTCACAATCCAGAACTGCTGGCTAAAAACACTTGCCTGCCTGCCTACATTCATGCCTGCCTAATTCCCCCTAACTGCTTCTGCCTGCCAGCCTGATATCTCCCAACTGCAGGCCTGGTTCCCCCACATCCAACTTCCCTTCCCTGATGGCCTGATTGCCCCTAACTGCCCTCTCCTGCCAGCCTGGTCACCCCTAACTATTCTCCCTTGCTGGTTTCCTTTCCCCCCAACTGCTCTCCCTTTCAGGCATGGTCCCCCCTCCCAGCCCCAACTGCCCTACCCTGCCAGCCTGGTCACCCCTAACTGTTCTCCCCGTCAATCCTGGTCCCCCCTAACTGCAATCCCTTGCAG